GCCCCTACTTATATAGCGGCGGGGGGGGGGAGAGGATATGGCCCCCACTTATATTGAGGTGGGGGTGGCGTGTACAATCATCCCCCCTACTTTCAGGAGGAAAATGGGGAAAAATTTCATATTTTACAGACACTAAATACTGAACATTTATCTACAAATCCGTCATCGCTATTCATATACTCTCCTAATGTATTATTACACAAATGGAAAGTGACACATACTATTAAAAAAATATATATATATGGAAAGTGACATACACCTACTGTAAAATGTCTGTAACTCGTTCCAAGAATGACATTATTTTACTGAAACTCAGACGGTTAATTTTGGACGCATTCCCCATATTACGATTTTTTTCAAAATACCCAAATCACGTTTTAACACTGCTCACGAAAGTTAAAGGGACAGTAGCCTCTAGGATTTTACTGCATACAACTGTACTTACTGTATAACAAATCGTCTATACCCACACGTATTTGTTACCAGATACCTAATTTAATTGTTATAATTAATTACACATCAACGCTTTTCCACGGCGTAGTAAAACGGGGCTGGAACGCAAACAAAACGTGACAGTACGTAATAGCCGTAACAAAATTTGGGAGGCGCGTCCGTAGTGGGACGGGAAGCATGTGTATCTACGAGCCCGGCCGCGCTACGGCGGGTTGCGTTCTACTACGGTCTGACACACGGCGCCGCGCGCGGTCTGGGAGGGGAGTATATATAAAAGCCGGGTCAGGCAGGCGAGCTTTCATTCGAATTCAATCGACGACACATTACTGCATCTTACATATACGAAGAGAGAAGACCAAGCTTTGAACGAAAAGAAGGCCAAGCTTGCTGCTGGCCTTCTTCTTGCTGACGCAAAAGACTGGATGTATGCACCAGCAAACATGCAAACACAAAATCTTCTTCATCTTGGGCATTCATGATGTTGTCTCGTCGAATCTCAGGGATACAATGATTGCCTATTGCTTGGGAGGCCCTTCTTTTTATACCCGTGGGCACAAACGTGCTCCAAAGCTGCCCGGCGTCCACGTTTCATCCGTAGAAAGCCTTGACAGAACGTGAAAAACGTGTCAAACCTGATCAGATCGTGAGAAAACGTGAGGACCCCATCACAAGGGGCGGATCCAGAGGGGGGGGTCGAGAGGGTCCGGACCCCCCCTTTTGACCACAAAAAAGGGAAAAAAAACATACACACACACGCACGCACGCACGCGCACGCGCGCACACACACCGACACACACACACAGACACACACACAACACACACACACACACACACACACACACACACACACACACACACACACACACACACACACACTTCTCTTATATTGTCTCCATAAAAAAATCTTGTTTAGCGCTAGTTTTTCTGGTAAAAATACTATATATATGTAAATTCGTTATAAAAACCTAGAAATGGGCAAAGAGGGCGTCGCAGGCGTCCGGGGAACCGGATCTGATAAAATTTTTGCATTCTAGACATCAAAATTACTGCTCAGATGCTCTCAGAATGCACCAATTTTTTTTTAAATCTTGGGGGAGGTCCCCCAAACCCTCCCTAAGTGGCCTTCGCAGCTTTTTAAAA